TGAACGCATCTCCAGACCATCGCGTTTGGTTTCCTCTATCCATTTTTCAAACACAAGGTCTTGTCTTGCGTCTCATCAGAAGTGTAAACGACTGTAATGATGACGAAGAGGTCTCTTCTGGGCGGGAGTCTTGGGACTCTATACTACCCACAGTAACTATATATATAAATAGCCTTGATTAGTCTTGTCAAGGACCTTAATCGCTTAGGCTTCCTTCTTGAAATTAGAAACGAGTTTCTTCTCGTTAACTCCAAAAACTATTCAGCTGTTCCGTTTCATCTTCCAGCGATGGCCCCCAAGAGATCTCGCTTGAGCGACGACGATAAGATGGTGCACCCTACCCCGCCGTCAGATAATGTTTTCGGGTCCTCTTCCAGGCCGACGTCGACGCCTCCAATGCCTGGTCCTCGAGGTAAGTCTCGCTGCCTTCTTCGTTTCAGGCATTCTTTGTCAATGGGTTTTCTTGAAACTCTCTAGATGAATTCTGGTTGATGATGACGAATAAAATTCGTCTTTTCAATCTTGAATGCAAAAGGAATTTGCATGTCTCTTGATGAAAACTGTTCATCTTCTTGACTTTGGATCCTGAAAGAACTTCTTGTGTCCATTGTAGTAATGAAGAATCAAACCCTTGACGTTGAATACACAGGAAAGTTTCTGTGTTCGTTGACGAAAATTATTCGTCTTAGATACGAACAACATTTCTTCACTCTTTGATCTTGAATGCGGAAGAGAACTTCCGTGTTTGTTGATAAGATGAAGGGTTGATCCCTTAATTTTGAACGCAGGAAGAAGTCTTGCGTTCATAGCAATCCAACACGGGTCTAGTTTCACTGCGTTCAGGCTGATCTTGACGCATGCCTAGACTGCTGCGTTTACATTCATCTATTCTATTGACTTTGCTTTTTATTTGGCTGTAAGGTGGGGCTTCTGCTGCTGAACCTATTGTCGTATCTGACGATGAAGGAGAAGGATTGTTTCAAGAAGACGCTCCTCTTATTCCACCCATCTCCGTGATCTTCCCACACGAGGACTTCGAGCGGGTGACTGATGAGACCGTTCGTCTGTCGCCCAATTGTGTTCTTTTCCTCTCTAGGCGTTTAGAAAATCTGGTAAGGCACGCTTTCTCCATTGTGATGCACAGGTGGGGCTCTTTCCTTGAGTTTCGAGCGCCTATCGTGGAAGGGTTGAAGGCTCTTGCGGAAGTCAACCCCCTCTACGCTAAACGTTTTGACGAGAAGATATATCGATACTCGGGGGGCCGCTCGTTATCTAGAGGAGTTGCAGCACACAGACTTAGAGTCTAAAATCCAATGGGCCATCGGCGACGCTATGCTGAAGGAGGGAATTGCTGCTAGGGTCCGAGTTTTGGATATTTCAGAGAAGAAGGACCGTATCTGGAGCTTGCAGAAGCAACATCGCCAAGCCAGGGCTAGACTGAATGCAGGGGAGATAACTCAGGAAGAGTTCAGCCTTGAGGATGCCACTTTCGCATCAGAAGTTCAAGCTGAGAAGGAGGCTGTCAAAGTGCTAAAACAGGAGGCCTCTGCTGCTGCTGCGGTTTCTGATGCTGAGCTTCATTAGAGAGTTAGAGAAGAGGTGCTGGTGAAGCACGAAAAATCCATATCGAATACAGAAGCTCATCTTCTGAGTTTCTCTTTACTTTAAACCCCAGCAACTCTTACTTTTTGTTTTGATTTTGTAATAACTCTATGTTATTTCTTCGAACACTTATTATCTGCATGAAATGCACTGTTGCTGTTTTTCTTGCATTTTCTGTGTTTGTCTGGAATGCTGCAGTCTCGTTGCGATGTTGGAACTTCTGAAAATTATTCCCTTGTGTTTGAATGATTTGAACGCAGGCTTATCGAAAGCGTATGGTTTTATCTTTGCGTCCAAATAGGTTTGAACGCAACTCTGAGATTTGAGTTGTAATTAGAAGACTTGCGTTTAGAGAGATCTGGTGCATTCCGACTTGTTGAAGACCTCCTTTGCTGTTGTAGTTGATATTCTGCGTTTGGATGCACCCAATGTGGGTCTTCTCCTTTTATAGGAACCAAGAACGCAAGATTTTGATATTCTGCGTTTGGATGCACCCAATGTGGGTCTTCTCCTTTTATAGGAACCAAGAACGCAAGATTGAAACTTGCGTTCGAGAGACTTGAAACGCAGTTATAGAACTTGCGTTTGGGGAAGCTAGACACATCTTAGTTTGCTAAGACTTTTTCATTGAACCAAATCAATCCAACAACTTAGGAGGTTTTCTTTATTATAATACTTCTCAACAACTTAAATCGTCAGAGGTGTAATGTTAACCTGACGACGTACAAAGTAGGAGAACTTATTTGTTCATACAAACATTCGATGAGCAACCCCCAGCTAAGCTCCAGAGACTTGCAGCTTATGGGTAATATTTCTTGAGAAACTTTCCATTAATTGGCATCATAAGTCTGTCGCCTTTTTTATTGATGAGACGGTAAGCCCCGTTGGAATAGACTGTCTCTACCACAAAAGGTCCTTCCCATTTGGGATTAAACTTCCCTTTGGTTTTATGGGTCATCACCATAGGTCGTCGATTAGCCAAAACCAAATCGCCTTTCTTGAAAATCCGCTCCTTGACCTTTTTGTTGTAAGCTTTAGAGATGCGGGCTTGATATAGTTCAATCTGTTGCTGAGCTTGAAGTCGCTTGTCGTCTAAAGCTTCGAGTTCTTGCAGACGTCGTTGGTGTTTTTCTTCCTCTGTTAGTCCGGTTGTGATAGCGACTCTTAAGGAAGGGATTTGGATTTCTAATGGCAACACGGCTTCACAGCCATATACCAAAGAAAATGGCGTAGCTCTTGTAGGGGTCCTCACTGTTGTGCGGTAGGCCCACAAACATTCGCCGAGTCTTTCGTCCCAATCTCGTCGGCTCTTGGAGACGAACTTTTTGAGGAGCTTTATGATAGTTTTGTTAAAGGCTTCTGCAAGACCATTCGCTGGCGGATAATATGCCGTGGATGCCACACTTTGGATGCGAAATTTATCACAGAATCTCTGAAATCCAAAACTAACGAACTGTGTCCCGTTGTCGTGAATTATTCGTCTCGGGACTCCAAAGCGATAAATGACGTGATGTTTAATGAACTTGATCACATTCTTTGTCTTGACTTCTCTTAATGGGATTGCCTCTGCCCACTTGGAGAAATAATCAGTTACGACCAAAATGAACCGGTGTCCTTTGGAAGTAGGAGGAGAAATTGGTCCCACAATATCCATGCCCCACATTTCAAATGGCCAAGTTGCAGATGTAGGATGCAGATTACCCGGCGCTTGATGAATAAAGTCCCCATGAATCTGACATTCGTGACAGCGTTTAGCATAGTCGACCGCGTCTGCGAACATCCTCGGCCAATAATAACCGATTCGTCGGAGACGATCACCTAATTTAGCTCCAGGCTGATGAGCTCCGCACATTCCATCGTGAGCTTCCTTAAGGGTCTCTTTTGCTTCCTTCCGGGAGAGACATCGAAGCAAAACTCCGTCATGTGATTTGCGGTATAGGGTTTGAGAGACTGCATCATAATAGAATTGGAGGGCCTTTCGTTTGATGGTGGCCGCTTCCTTAGGGTCGTCAGGCAATATTCCGTATACATCATAGTCGATATACAGGAATCGCCAGTCTCTAGCTTCAAATTCCATCGAGGTTGTACAGACTTCTCCTGTCGGTGTCTTATCGGAGCTTTCCTCCATGGGAATCTTGAAACAGTATAACTCGCGTCCAGCCACTGAGATTGTAGTTTCAGCCCCTAGAGGCAACGCTAATGAAGTTGCCAGCGAGGCAAAAGCATCTGCGTAAGCATTCTGAGCTCGTGGAATGTATTCAATAAAGAAACCTTCGAACTTCTCAGCTTGCTTTAGGAGCGGATTATGGGGACAGTTACACCCTAATCTCTCTATAAATTCCAACAAACTCCACGGAGTAAAGGGATCGGATTTCTATGATTTGAGGGGGATTCTTTTAGCTGGAGTTTGTGAGACCGATTTCCGAGAGGCGAGATCGAGGGCTGGGCTTGGAAAGTATTCTTTAGCAACAAAGAATTCAGATACTTGGCCTATTAACTGATTATTCGGTTTCAAGAACTCTGTTTAACAGAGTTCTAATTCATTCTGAGTTACAAAACTCATTAAGAGTTCTTAATCAAACTCGTCACATGAGTCGATTATTCCAGTGAATTGAGACGTTTGGATCGTCAACGGAGAGCAAATTCGACGCGAGCATTCGAGGGAGACATTCCATCGCCACCATGAAGAACCCAGAATTAAACAAAGGGAAAAATTCAGATCAATTCTCCTCTCTTTTGTAATCGGAATTCAAATTGTAATTAAGATTGAGAGAATACAAATCAAATTTCTTTCATTTTATTTACTACAAATTTTCCACCAAACAGTCTTCATATCCTTGAGTGCTTCTGGGTGGTGTTTGATCCGATTTGCATACGGTGCCTAGTCTAGCCATACGCTCACAGCGTGATAATTGATCATGGCGCGTGACAGAAGTCAAAGGGGGTATAAGCATCATTTCTCGAGTCCAAGGGGCTGAAGGCAATTTTCCCACAATATATCCCCTGTACCTTCTTAGTCCTCAATAGTTTTACCGTATATGCACCAAAAGGAGCCATATTTTCCCAGAATATCTAGCATTTATCAACCATATCCTAACCTTATTCCAATTCACATCCAATCCTTATTTCCTTTGTTCACAAATCCTCCAAAATTAAACCTAGTAAGTATTCGCAACCAAATAATGTTACCATTTAAGAACAAGATATACGCTCTTTCCTCCCAACACCAGAAAATTACTCTGAAAGGGGACGTGAAACATTCCAATCAACAGCAATATTTGTACAGGTTTTGTCTACGGGCAATAGCCGGTAACAAGCAGACACAAAAGGATCTTTGTCTAAACCGTAAATTTACGGAATTACCCTCCTAGTTTTAATTGGAGAAGATCCCCCTCTCCTCTTTCCCCGCTTCTCAGTATCTCTCACGAGATTTCCTCTCTTTTAACAGAAAACCGCCATCTTTTAGTCTCGCTCACAGCATCTCACTGAGCTAGTCTCTCTCATTTTGCTTTGAGATTCGTTCAAGTTTCGTGATGGCGCCGGAGATCAGGGAGGCTCTCTGTGCTCTGTGCTGTGCTCATGGGTGGTCCTACGGAGTTTGCTGGCGGTTTGATCGAAGGGATCCTCGGTAGAGTTCTCTTTTCTTTTTCCCCCGTTCCTTCGAATTATTTTGTTTAATGGGTAGCCTGCAGAATCTTTGATTTGTTTTCTTCTTATTATTTATTTTAGTTCTTTTTAGTGTTAATATATATGGGTATGATTACTCCTGTGAACAGAGAGGAGCTCACTTTTTGTCTTCCCAAAAGAAAAAGCTTTGCTCTTATGCTTTACCTTTTTTTTCCCTTTAAGTATTTCTTTGAGCAGTTTTTGATACTGGAAGATTTCTGGGAGATGGGTCTTTCTTTTTTGGGCACAATGTGTAGTCCTAGGCTGCTCTTTTTCTATTTAAAGTTTTATTATATAATTTTTTTCACTGGGAATATTTAATAACAAAGATACTGGGTTAAGAGCAAAAATTCTTTTCCTGGTTTTGCCACATGGGTTGTTGATTTCATGGATGGTAGAATTAACTCCAACTTTCTACAGAGTATTGAATTATGAGAAAAGAAACTTACATTTTGACTTTTGAGATTCTGAGTATTTGATGCTTATTTAGTTTCTTTTTGCATTATTTGATTATCAGGTTGCTGGTGATGGGTGGTAGTTATTATGAAGAACAAATTAGGACAGTGATTGACAAAACAATTACTCAGGTTCATGTAATTGGAGAAGGGTAAACTCACTTCCGCACTACATTTTCTTTGAAATAATTGCTCCTTGTTCGAGACATAGGTCTAGCTTAATTAGAATTCTTGCTGTCTCTCCAATTAAATGCTATCAATTCTAACTGGGATTCTTTTGCTTTGTTGTGCATTTCCCTCCTCAAATTTTCTCCTTGTCAAAAACAGGCTTGTTGATTTTTTGGATGATAATATTTGTGAAGGGAATATAAACTTCTACTCTTTTTTCGTGTTGCAGAACTATAGGAGTTGTAGCTATAAGTGGAAAACATCAGTGGATCAGTTCTGATACTTCTTTTGAGGTAAGATCTCTTCCAGCATAAACAAGCTCCAATCGTGTATGGAAATGTTTGAGATGTAAGTAGACTTTATCTTGTTTTTCAGTGTTTTTGAAACATTTTATCGAGATTCTTTAATTTACATAAAATGGCAAGTGCAAATTTAAACACAATGGTTTAAAGATCTGGAATATTACCAGATCCTTGCGTATAGTGAATGTATGTGTTAATTGCAAAGTGTATAAGACAGAAAAGGAATAAGAGTTCATGATTTAACTATTAAAACTAGATTTACTTTGTTTATAAAGAATTTGATATCCTTGAAAGGTGGAATCATTCTTTATCAGAATCTGGTTTATTGAAAATGAAAACCACTTTGTCAAGTATCTCGTGCTCCTTTTGTGGCCATTTGGTCACAACATCATGTTGCTCAATATGTGCATAAATCCTGTCTTTTTCAGGGCAATAATGAGTGGCAACATCAATTTTTGGCTGGAATGAAGGTGTGTGATTATTTCTACTACTTTAGCTCCTAGATAATCGGTCTCCAACTCCTTATATGCTTCATCACGGATTTTTCCAATAAGCTATACGTTATGGGACTAAAAGTCATGTGTCCGTTTGCAGACGATTGTGGTCATTTCCCTGCAATCCTTTGGTGTGGTTCAATTTGGATCAACTGAGAAGGTCTGTGCTTTGTCCTCTCTTTTCATTATTTTCAGTTAATGAATTTAGCAGAATTGAAATAAATGTTTTACTAGTTTACATTGAATTTTTTTGGTGTGTAAAGCTTGTTAAGTAATTGAGGCTAATAGCAAGCAATTTGAATTGCTGAAATTAATTTTCGAGATGTCTAGTTTATATAAATTCATCAGACCTCCATATATTACTTAGTGTTGGTACATAATATAGCTAAAACAAGAACATATGTCAGGTTTGTTGAGCGCTGCGGAAGCCAAACAACCAAACCAACGTGCTACGAGAAATCAAATCAAACGAACGTCGAGAGAAGGCCAAACGAACCAAATCAATGCCACAAACACAAACAACCAATTTTAATGTGGTTCGGCAAGTTGCTTACGTCCACGGGGCAAGAAGGGGATAGGGTTTTTCACTAATAGAGAAGAAGAGTACAAACTGAGATTACAAATCACTCAAACTCACCAATTAATCTCACTAACAAATCTCTAATTCTCTCCAAACAAAACCCTAACCAATAGCTCAGAAAATACCTCTTTTCTGTGCTTCAAATATCCCTAATTTTCTTCTCAATTCTCTCTTCCAATTGTTCCATATATATAGAAATCCTAAAATCATGAACATACTAGGAATTCTAAAGCAAAAAACAAAACAGATTAGGAATCCTAATAACATATTACCAAAATAGATTAGGAATCCCAATAACCTATTACCAAAACAAATTAGGAAACATATTAGGAACTTGCTATTCAACAATTCTCCACCTCGGCGAAGTTTTTTCAAAACTAAACCGACACCAATACCAACCAAACGTCTCACTTGTTGCGTCCAGTACGAAGTGGAACAAATCCACGGCAACGGACTCAATCCACAAGTCGAGAACCCAAACAAGAATGCGAACAAACTCCAAATGTTGGTATCAACTCACCAAACCAACTGCATCATAAATGACTGCCTACGTATCCTTTTGTCCAAGGAATCAAGCATTCACGTAGTTCACCCAAACGGTCTCCAAAGGCCCTCAATCAAATAGAAAAGTTTACAAATCTTCACAAATATCACCAACGGATCTGCAACTAATAGCGCTCCCAATGACCCCAAACTGAAACAAATCAAATACCTCCACCTGAGGTGAACCAATGACCGTATCCAAAACATGTCCACCAGCTGCACTCGAATCCAAAACCAACTCATCATCTGTACCAAATCCAAATGATCTCCAAACTGTGTCACCTCAGCTAGAATTCCAAACGATGCAGTATGATCTGAAGTATGTGGAGTAATCTCCATCTAATATGAAGTAGCATCACCCTCCACCCGTTGTGATATCCCAATAATTTGATCAATACTCTCCACCTACCGAGAGTCAAATATGACATACCTATTCAGAACAAAATCAGAAGCTCCTAACTGATAATCAAACGAAACTCTGAATCCCAAACGTGCAATCGGATCAAATCTCACATCCTCGGTGTGACCAAATGCTGGGCAACCAAATATCCGACGTAACCTAAAATCTGAAACAACTTCACCAGATCCAAAATCTCCACACACAGCAGTCGACAACCTATGACCAAGATAACCCAAATATGTCGAAGCTCCAAAATCAACACCAATTAACGACAACCAACGCCGATCCCCCTTCAGTAAGGAACGACCCACAAAACTATCATCTCATCTCGTCGCTCTAATGTTTCCACATCAATGAAGTATCTCAAACTACCATGAGTTCGGCACAAATGCAAGAAAGAACCCCTACCAAAGCTAGAACGACGTGTTACCTTTCTGTCAATACACATCTTCTAATTGTTGTTGACTTTTAGGACTTCACATCAACGGGACCTGGTTGTAACCCACCAATACCTAGAATAATCCCTAACTGCGAAATACCGATTATCTCCCAATGATGTATCCTTAGAAGGTCCCCAAATGTCTGACTGAACACTACTTAAAAGACCCCTCGATCGATGGATAGAAGTGTCAAACTCCATCTCGGTCTTCTTGCTCATACCAATGTGCTCAAAAGACTTCAGTCTGCAGGTCAAAGCACTCCTCAATAAACCATTCACGGCATAACCAATCAAATAACTCAGCCTCAACAAATGCCACAGTCTAGCCAAATCCAAAAAAATCGTCAACTCTCTATCAAACACCGTGCTCCCAATCAAATAATACAAATTATTTCTTCTAATGCCCTTCATCACAATCATGGATCCCAATGTGACCTTCAAATATGAATCGACCAAGGTCACCCTATAGCCTGCTATCTCTAAAACTCCAAGTGAAATGATGTTCTTCTTCAATTGAGGAACAAATCTCACTCCAACCAACTCCCGAATCACTCTGTCACTCATCCTAATCCGAACGGTACCGATACCACCTATAGAATATTCATGATTATTACCCATGAGCACGACCTCCCCTCTTTTCAACTCCTAAAAGTTAGAGAACCAATCCCTCCTAGGAAAAATATGGTAAGAAGCACCTGAATCCAACATCCACTCTGTAGAGTCGATAACACAAACTGACGGTAGTGTAGATAACGAGTAGCCCGAAGAATCTGAATCTGAATTATTACCACTAGCCTTGACAACATTCACCTCTGAAGCTTGAATAGCTTTCCCCTTATTCTTCCTGGCACGATCAACTAACTTTGGGCATTCGGCTTTTCAATATCCATCCTCTTTACAAAAAGCACACTGATTCCTACGAACTCTAAGATGTGCCCCTCTAGACTGCGACCTCCTATCACGGTTTGGACTCTTTGCTCTTGCGACCAATGCTCTCGCTACCGGCTCAACTGAAGTCTTCTTATCCTTCTTTCGAAGCTAATAATTCACAAGTACAGTGGTGACCTCATTATAAAAAAAAAATCTTCCCATTAATAAGAATAAGAACAAATATCTCATATTCCTCGTCAGGCAAGAAACTCAACAATAACAATGCCTTGTCCTCATCTTTAATCATCACATCTATATTTGTCAAATCCGCAAGAAGCTTCGTGTAGTGGTTCATATGATCACCAATGGAGGTCACATTCTTCAATTGGAAGCGATAAAATCTCCTCGTCAAATACAAGCGGTTCTCTACACTCTTGGTCAAATACTTGTCTTCTAGGATCTCCCAAATCTTCTTAGCTGAAGTCTCATTGATCACATCATATTTTAAATCTTGAGTCAAACAAGATCTAATCACACCACACACCGTTCTATTCATCTTTTTCCAAACCTTCTCCTCAATGTCGTCCGGTTTTCTGTCAAACTCCAAAGTATCTTCCAAATTTTACGCATTGAGCGCATCCAAGACTTCACATCTTCAAAGACCAAAATTGTTTGTGTCATTAAACTTCTCCACATCTATCTTCATAAAGTGGATATTCAAATTTTGGACGGTCTTCACGTCGGAAGCCGGAAGTACCATTCACAACTCATTCTTTCCCGACCATCTTTCTCAAAGCACCAAAACAAATGTGGAACAAATAAAAAATAGATCTAAAACTGAAAAGATAGAGTCTTTACCAAAAAGATCGCACCTTTATCACCAAACGAAGCCCTAGACGAGCCTCCAAAACGACCTACTCCTCCAAATAGCCCAAGCGTAGCCCAAGCTCTGATACCACTTGTTGAGCGTTGCGAAAGCCAAACAACCAAACCAACTTACTATAAGAAATCAAATCAAACGAACGTCGAGAGAAGGCGAAACGAACCAAATCAATGTCACAAATACAAACAACCAATTTTAACGTGGTTCGGCAAGTTACCTACGTCCACGGGACAAGAAGATGATAAAGTTTTTCACTAATAGGGAAGTGTCAGACCCTAGAGGGGGGTGATTAGGGTCTTATGCTAATCTAATCCGATTTTATGCCAATTAAAACTAATTAATAAATTATTCTTGCAAGATAGATATACAATATGTTATGAGTAAGAATATACAATATGAATAAAGAGATATATCCTAGCAAAGAGTTATATGATGAAAAATATGCAAGGATATATAAATTAACATAAGGGTAAACAATCTAAACTAAAGATACAATTGTGATAGGGCAATATAAACAATGCAAACACACAATATGATCACGGAGTTCGGACCTTCCGTCCTACGTCTCTGCTCCCTACTCCCGGGGAGAAATCCACTATCACAACCGGGTTTTCTACGCTCACCTGAATAGCGTTTACACCACACAATACGGTTTTCTAGTAAACCGAAAACTTTACAATCCACTCTTATAATCCCACTTTACATCCTCACAAGTATTGGTCTTTAGCCCGTGTCTCCCTCAAGTGTTAGTAATTATAACCTATCTCTAGGCATTACCACCTACTGCACTCCTCTTGGGACGATCCCGTCTCTCACCACACACTCCTCTCGGTAAACAAGTGTATTACAAAGTGATCTACATAATTAGGCTCGCAAATACAACAATGGTTGTTCTCTTCAATGGCCGGGAACTCAATTAAGCTCACACTCTATGTCACAATCCCACAACCCAAATATACTATGAATGTAAATACAATAAGCTTAATTGTTGTGTGTGAACAAAGAGATACAATAGAAACAATTAATACGCAATATAAAATCTAGCTTATGAAATTAAGATCAAAATATATAAAATGCTAGAGTTGAGTTTAAGAAAAACTTCTCTATGGATCAAGAGAGAGAGGGAGAAGAGTTGGATGCTCAAATACTATTGGTGATCTTCCTGAAGCCCTTGTGAAACTTTCTTCACAAACAAACTCTTGTAAACAAACTCTTTTAAACAAACTTCAAAACCCTTAAACTTATTTAAAAACTTTTCTTGGATGATCATAAGTGTTGAGGGATAATGGGTTTTTATAAGAACTCAAGACAACAACCCAAAGCTAAAGAAAACCCCAAAAATGAGGCGAATCCCCAAAAAATCGGAACCAAAAAAATAGAGCCGTTATGTAACGGTAACCTGCGCGGTCGACCGTGGTACTGTAGCGGTCGACCGTGAGTACTATAGCAGTCTGGCAGATCTGATTTTTTTGCGTGTCGGGTTTTGTAAAATCAATTAAAAATAGTATATCATTTTCAAAAATTATAAAATTTTGAGAGAAGTTTCTAAACATGTACATGAACATGTTAGAGAAAGAATTTCTAAAATATCACTTCTCATTTGTGAGAAATAATTGTTTGAACACAGATATACAACTTCTGAAAAACTGCTAAAAACTCGTTTTTATAAATTCAATTGAAAATAACAAAACAACTCCAAAATTAGTAAAACTTGGGAAAATGTTTGTATATATGAAGATAAACATGTAAACGAAGAAATTTTTCAAATTGCGTTTACCAATTGCGAAAACTCATCTGTTTTGCAAAAACATGCACGAATATGTGCACGAACATGAACTTATTTAAAACTTAATTTTGTAAATTCAATTAAACATAACAAATTAATTCCAAAATTGCTAAAACTTTGGGAAACATTTATAAACATGAAATTGAACATGTTAGAAAGAGAATTTCTCAAATTGAATTTTTCATTTGTGAAAACTCATGTATTTTGCAAAACTTGTAAATACATGTGTACATAAACTTCTTGATTTTTAACTATTGAGATAAATAATATTTTGAAACCTTATAAAATGATTTTATAGACTTAATAGAATATATATATAATGGTTGTTAAGTCCAAAAACCAATAACTCAATATTTTGTCAAAATTACTCAAAATAAAGAATTGTGTGTATGTGTGATATTGAGCTCAAAGTATTAACAGACAAGTATAAATTCTAAACTAATTTAACCAAGCTAGATTGGTCTTCAATATGCTTGACTTGGTAAACTCACGGATGAAGCTTGAACTTGAATATTTAACTTGGATTTGCATAGCTTCACTCCACTATTCCGCCAACCTCCATTGGATATGATCGTGAATGATTGATTCCATCCATCCTCCAACGCGTTGTTTGTCTATAATAAATAAGAAAATACAAATACTAGACAAACAACATTAGTGGTAAATTGTTTGTTAAACATCATCAAAACAAAGAGGCCAACAGGAAGAAGAGTACAAACTGAGATTACAAATCACTCAAACTCACCAATTAATCTCACCAACAAATCTCTAATTCTCTCTAAATAAAACCCTAACCAATAGTTCAGAAAATACATTTTTTCTGTGCTCCAAATATCCCTAATTTTCTTCTCAATTCTCTCTTCCAATTGTTTCATATATATAGAAATCCTAAAATCATAAACATACTAGGAATTCTAAAACAAAAAACAAAACAGATTAGGAATCCTAATAACCTGTTACCAAAACAGATTAGGAATCCTAATAACCTCTTACCAAAATAAATTAGGAAACATATTAGGAACCTGCTATCCAACAAGGTTACGTGGAGGAATGAGTTGGAAAGTCTGAAACTTTGTGGATTGCTTTGAACCGAAATCAAGGAAAATGATAAGTGTTGGTATTCAAGGTTCTTTCTGTGCATAAAAAGTTTCTACTCCATTGAAGATGAAGATATTATGGATCTTTAGTTCATATGAACCATGAGAAACAATTCTATGGTTCAAAGAATATATGCTTGCATAAAAATAGATAAGATCATTTCATATTTATCATGTTCTATGCCTAGGTTAGTTGTTTGTACTTCTTGCTTCTCTAGGTTCCTCCTCATTAATCAAAATCCGTCTGATGTTGTTGACCTAATTGATTAGAGGAGTCCTCATATGATCTATTCCTACTAATGTTACATGTAATTTAACAACATACAGCTTATTTCGAGTTCTTGTTCTAGCGTTTGATTATTGTTTATCCCTGTGCCACCATTAACGTGCTAAATCTTATAGTGATGATTTTTTTTCGAGTTGTCTATTGATATGTTAATGCAGCTGAACAACATACAATGTTTTCAATTCTGTAACAAAGAAATAAAACCTCATCTAAGGTTAAATCAAATGATTAAATATATTAAATATGAACAATATGCTCATTGTGGTTGCAAAATTCATAATCAAATTTAAGTGCTTTTAGATCACTGATGTGACTGGCTAATTCAATTATAGAGCTCATATGGAAGTACTAAAAACATTGCAAATATTGAGCCAAAATCTCCAGATAGGTTTTTTTTCATAATAAATAAGGGCGATGGTCTGTGGCATATCTGGTCAGAGCACACAAGTTTACATTTTAGGTTTGTATTAAACCGGACAGATGCAACAAAGATAGCTTTGTAATTGGTGTAGGTTCCTTTTGTCATTTCTATACATCATATTCTTGCAGTTTTATGCTTCGTGCTGTGCGTCATTCTTTTTTTTCCCCTGAGAGACATGTCTAAGCATAAATTACTAGGAGGAAATTATGAAAGTTTGCAGCTTGTGCCCTTTGCTTTTCATTTGAAGATTATTGTTTATCTTGATCCAGTGGTCATTTGCTTTTTAGCTCTATTTTAGTTTGCAGGAAATAAACCCTAATAGAGTCCTCCTCTGTTTTTTGCAGCCATGCATTCTGATTCCTGTCACAGCATTTATAAGTCTTAGTCTTGATGGTTACAGTGAAACGTCATTCATGGAATAATTGCTATTGCTCATTATGTAGGAAGAATTTATATGGGTTGGTATGAGCTCTCCTATCCAAAAACCAACAATTTTCCAACTTAAGCGGTTTATACTCATTACTAACTCCAAAATATAATGTCATTTCCCTTTTTCGTTAACTCTTGTGATGTTAAGTTCAAGTCTAAGATAACCTTACGAGAGTGAAATTACCTTGAACAAACTAAGTATGATTGTATAAAATTTAGTGATAAAGAAAACATTACTCTTCTGATTGGTTCTTTGTTCTTGTTTTGTATGCAAGTCATTGCTCGGCTGTGCTATAGCCATAGGCAACTACAATTTCCCATATCAAACCATAATTTTACATTGTAACATTGTCTTTGATGTCAAATTTTTGCTGATCTTTCTCAATCTTCAACAGATATGTGAAGGTTTGGAGTTCATTGAACAAGCACAGCATATGTTTCGTCAACAAGAAGATATGAAAGGGCACTCTCTACCAGGAAATATCTATCCATGTGAACCATTTACTTCGTTGAATTCTTCTGGAAACATTTATGCTTCTCACAAGAACATCAATTCATTGCATGATCTCATAAACAAAGAGCTGCGTAAGTCTGAGCCTTCAACTAGTTATACTTCTTCCAACCATTACTCTCTGGGATCACACAATGGGATCATTGATCCTTATCTGTCAGCAATTCCAGTAATCACCAGTCCACAATGTGCATCCACTGTTGTTAGCAACCCATTTTTCAGAATAAATTCTAGAACTAGTATGTCGTCTTTTCCTGTCACAAGCCAGTCTGTAACAGCTAGTTATGGTTCTAGCAATCAGTTCACTGCCAACTTAAATGCAAACAATTTGGCTAATGAACTAGCCACCTCAGCAGAACAAAGAATGTTGCCTGGATTGACAGCAAACTTACATTATTCTAGCTCTCATATGAACTCATTTCAATATCATTCTGGACACTCAATTTCATTATCTTCACCTGCTAAATCCTCGTCCAAATCATCCTCTATTGCCTCAGAGCTACCTGATAATTTCCTCTCTTTACCCCAAGATCCAGTGCCTGAACAATCTGCATCATTCCAACTCAAAAACCACGAGACAAGATCTCAGGTTGATCCATGTGAGCATAACATTCCAAGTGTTCAAAGTGAAGCTATCAGCTGCAGTCCATCAATTGATTTACCTAGCAAACCAGTTGAGATTTCATCTACAACTGGTTGTGATTGGAAACTGACCTCCTCAAATGAACCCAGTCAGCTATTTTTGGATAACGACCTGTTTGAAGGAATGGAATTGGATCTGAGCCCTCGAATAGTAAGGCAAGAGTCTTGGGATGACATAATAACACCTATTGGCAGTAGCCGCTTCTCAAACTTGGGTACTAGTGTTTCAGACTGCAAATCTGAAATAGACAAAGAGTTGTTTTCTGGATCAAGTTTTGAACAATTATTGGAATCAGTTGTCAGAGAAAGTGCCAATTCATCGACTAGTAACAGTTTAATCTCTCTTAATAATGTTGATTGTACTCAAGGAAACACAAAGCCATCCCCTTTATGTGAATTTAACTTCGACAAGATTATACAACAATGTTCGATGGAAATTCCCCAAAAGTCACATTCTAGTTCTTGGATTGATGGTAGTTCCACTATGAATACTGAGAATGCTATAACCAATCAAATTAAGAAACCTGAAGAAAATGTTAAGGTTGCTAGGAAACGAGCTAGGCCTGGGGAAAGTACTCGACCGAGACCAAAAGATCGTCAGGCGATACAAGATCGTGTGAAAGAGCTACGGGAAATAGTACCAAACAGCTCAAAGGTACTTCTAGACTCACATTTGCAATTGTGCTCTCATTAACACTTTTTCTTGTATTTATTTTTAATTACAAATTGAACCCCTTATACTATTGCCCAGTAGCGGATAGAGCCTCTGTAGTTCTGTTATTGCGAATGGACCCCCCGTACTATCACCCAGTAGCATATAAGCATTTTGAGTGAGTTTTTATTGATTCTTTTACCCGCAGCAGGTCTACTTATAGAAAAACTGGGGCTAGTTCTACGTAAACCCCCTGAACTTCAAGGAGGGTTTCAAATAACCACCCTGAACCTTGTTTATCTCATATAACCCCCCGTACTTTGGCGTGTCTAACAAAATTCCCATGAAGTTTAATCGTTTCTCAGTGAACCCCCTACCTAGTAATTTGCAGATAACTGAGATATACTTGAGAGAAAAAATCACTAATTTTGTCATTTCTCATTTACAGTCAGCATACCCCCTCCAGATTTTCGTTTTTTTTTTCCTCAAAGAAATTTTAGCTACTTGCAACTCAGTAGGGGATCCAGTGAGAAAAGTTCAAAATTCAGGTGGTTTTTGTGAGACGCCCCAAAGTTCAAGTGGTTTATGTGAGATAAACAAAGTTTAAATGATTTATGTGAAAAGCCCCAATGTTCAGGGGGTTTTGTGAAATTATCCCAAAAAGCTATTTAACTTTCCTTGAGGGTAAAAGAATCAAAAAATTTCATGGTGGGCGTCTATCTACAATAATAGAACAGTAGGGGGTCTATCCGGAATTCACCCTTCATTTTATCAATCAGTCATGATTTCTTTTTTGATATTCATTTTATTGAATTGATTGATGCAACAGTGCAGCATTGACACTTTGTTGGACCGAACGATCAAGCACATGCTCTTCTTGCAAAGCGTGACAAAATATGCTGACAAACTTAAACTATCTGACGAGCCGAAGGTGTAATTCTTAATGGTTTGCAGAGTTCTTGATTCTGTTCATTAACAAATATCTTCAATGTAAATTTTATCTAAATTATATTCTTTTTATTCTTTTCTTGTAGATGATTGGCAATCAAAGTGGCGTTGTCCTTAAAGACAATTCAAGCAGTGGAGCTGGTTCCGGTGGTGCTACATGGGCCTATGAAGTTGCAGGACAAACAATGGTGTGTCCAATATTAGTTGAGGATCTTAATCCCCCGGGCCAGATGCTAGTTGAGGTTAAAATCAGAACCTGATCATACTTATCACGGTTAATTGCACATACCCCTTTTGTATGGTTGTTTTGAACATACAATCCCTGTAATTTCATTGTTGTAGATAAACCTCTGTGTCTAATTTTAACCCTTAGGTAGGCTCTCACTAATTTTACATTAGGTTAATATTGATCAAAATTTCACCCACGTTAAAAGAGTCAAAAAAAAAAAAAAGATAACCCAGGGTATCTATCTGCAACAATGAAACTACAAGGGTAGTAAGTTCAAAACAACAATACTACAGGGGTTTATTGCAATTAACCCAAATTTAATTTCTCCTAGCACGATATAATCAACATTTGTATATAAATCTCGGTTTATCACATGCATGTAACAGATGCTCTGTGAAGAGAGAGGATTCTTTCTTGAGATAGCAGACGTTATACAGGGATTTGGGCTGACAATTCTGAAGGGGGTGATGGAGATTCGAGAGAGTAAGATATGGGCTCGTTTCCTGATTGAGGTAATTAAGAACACATAAAGCTGATATGACATCTGATGTTTTTTGAATTTTGAGATTGCTAATCTTGGATGCATTGCCAGGCAAACAAAGATGTGACAAGAATGGATATATTTTTCTCACTCGTCCAATTTCTACAGCAGACGAGCAGCATTAGGACTAATGAGCAGCAGCAGAAGCAAACCACGGTTCTTGAGAAAAAAGTTTTCAACACATTTAGTAATTATCAGAAACGTCATGACAGGAGTCCTATCGCTATTGCTGATAGCTTATGTTGAGTAGAAGCTCATGCTGTCCTAACGTCAAAACCATCCTGTGCTATCATGATAAGGTTGTAAAACTTCCGAAACAACAACATTTGTGATGAGATGAAGATTTCAGGATCCAAGGAGAAAGATTCTCGAGCAGATAACGGACGAGAGTAATTTCTTCAATGATAGGAAATGTGACGTTCACATAGAGGGCGGGAAGAATGGTAGAATCGATCGGTTTTTAGATTTGAAGATTAGATGAGATTTGCTAAATTGTAGCTTCTTTTGTTTCTATCTTTGTCCTTACGGTATCAGAGAGTCGTTAGATGTTTAGCTAGTTATATAGGCAACATTTTGTTATTTGCTGTTGTTTGTGCTTTAAAGTGTTCCTCTGATTGAAATGGTCCTATTGAAGTGATAAGAAATATTTGAATGTTTATGGGCCATTGTATTTTTATAATGGGCGAGGCTCATTTTCTCTTCCATCAATTTTCTTTGATATCAGCTGAGACGGGCTATGAGTTCAGGATTGTGGGTTGAATTTGACTGGTGGGGAATTTTTTTTCAATTATTAGAGGAAAGTTGATATCAAAAGATAGTATGGGAATTTCAACTAATACTTGGACCTTACTCTTCGTCTGCGTTTCTTTTGAGAATTGTTTCCGGGAGCAGAATTTGAGGTATTGTTCAAAAAAGTTGACCCTCCTAAGCCACTTGAAAGTTGTAACAAAAATAAGAATGATTAAATTAAAAAAAATTGTTCAATCACTAGAGAGAATCAAGATATCATATGGCCCCACTTTAATTCATCTACTTCAGTGCAATATGATGTCATCATAATAGAACGAAGATCAGCGTGAGTTCAGGCTAAAAACTGTGTCAAACACTATTCACATAAGAAAAAATGTATTTTTTCGGTGAATACCGGTTGACTTTATGGGTATAGAACCTTTGTTCCTAAAATAGGAGGTATATCTCTCAAATTGCAACATTGGTTCTGTTTTTATTTCTATACAAACGCAGTTAAGTCTCCATAGAAATAGATTTTGTGAGAACTCATTTTGAAAAGCTCACGTTGTAGATCTTAATCGATCTAAAACATACAATATATATAATCATGATTGATTCAAAGAGAATCATTATAACAAGAAGAGCGGAAGCATACCTGAATCCATGACGAATTTGCACGGATCTGAATTAGGGTTTGATCTTCTAATCTTGAGGGTCTTTCTTTTAGATTTCTCTTTAGATAGGAATTTAGAGAATAGAGAATGTAACATCGGATTAGGGACCATAACCCCTTATTTATAGATGATGTACTTTTATAATTTGGCCCCTCATCAAATTATAATTATAATATGGTATCTGCACAATTAGCTCATGATTAAATTAAATAACCATTAACCCAAATTAACTAATTGATCACTTTATGCGGGTCAACCTTAAGGATAACATTACACACTAATATAACATATGTGCCCATAACAATATTTAATCCAACAATCTCCCACTTGGGCACCACATGTTTCCTTAAAGTATGTACAACCTTATGAGCTAAAAAATTGCTATCACAAATAAGGGTATTTCTAAACAATCCCGTCCATTAACTATATCAATATAGGATCAAAGCGGTTTTCATCACATTTATCGTGACTAAACACATCAATAGTCACATATACCAATACAATCAAATGACATAGATCAATCATGGATGTATAGCATGAAAATTACATGCAATGTGATCTGTACATATCTATTTTTAACTGTTTCTTCCTTAAACTTTAGTGAGGTCAATACCAAACATAATGAAACAGAGTGTATGAACTGAATACTTTATTCTAATCAGACGATACAACCAAACATAAAGCACCAAAAAATTATAAACTCTCACTAAATCATGATATCCTCAAATAATACCACACTCATATGAGTAGTGTGCTCATGAAAGACCTTGGGTGGCAATCTTTTTCTAAGAGGATCAACTATCATGGAGTTTGTCCCAATGTGCTCTATAGATATCTGTCCACTCTACATCCTTTCTTTCACAACTAGGAACTTAATGTCAATGTGTTTTGACTTAGTCGAGCTCCTGTTATTATTGGAATACATAATTACTGATTTATTATCACAAAATTACTTAAGTGGTCTTTTAACATTTTTCAGAATGCACAGTCCACTGATAAAATTTTATAGCCATATTCCCTGATTAGATGCCTCATAGCATGCTACAAACTATGCTGCCATAGTGGATGATGCTACAAGTGTCTGTTTGACACTTTTCCAAGATATAGCTCCTCCTGCTAACATATAAATGTAGCCTGATGCAGACTTTCTTCTATCTTGACATCCAGCAAAATCAGAATCAAAGTACCCAATGACCTCCAACTATTCTGATTTTCCGTATGTAAGCATATAATCTTTTGTTTTCTTAAGATACATTATTGTTGACCATGTGGATGTGCACGAGGAACATTTGCAAATAAAGATGGTCTTTTAAGATTATTTTGCAAATGAAAAACATTTTAAAATAATATTGGTCTACTTGAAATATTTTACGATTTAGAAACTTTTCGCAAATCAAAACAAAACTTAGCTAAGTGACCAACTCTACCACAAAAATTACAATGATACACATTACCATGCTTATGATGAACAATGGGTGCATGTGTGTGTACATGTGATGAAGAAGAAGCCTTATGAGATGCACATGGAGTACTAGCAATCTTAGGTTTGTGTGCATCATAGCAAAATTTAGCAAGGTGGCCTTTACGATCGCAAATAGAGCATTTGTAAACTTTGCTATACAAGTGTGCATGGTGTGTAGGTGATTTTTTAGCACTAGACTTAGCACACTTGTCCATAAGTTTCTTATGGTTATCAATGCATGTTTTTAAAGTTGAATCTAAAGATGAAATGTATTTTTTCATAAGATTCAAGTCTTCATTTTTAGGCACATATGCACTTTTAGAAGTAGAACATAAATAGTTATTTATAAAAGAAGCTGTATCATTCTTTATGTTCTCTACTTCTAACATGGCATCAATCTTAGCATGAGATAGGCTAGCAATAGATGAGATCAAATTTTCATTATCCAAATTTAATAAGTCATTGCTTTCTTTAAGCATCGTATTTTCATTTCCAATGACATCAAATTTGGACACTAGCTTCTCATGATCGGATTTTAAATTATCATGCTTGCATTGTAAATCAACAAAATCTTTATGCAATTTGTTAAAGGCATGCAACAAATTTTCACTAGCACAAGCAAGTTCATCATTAGGTAAATCATTAATGGTTTCGAACTCGCAAACCTCACTAGGGCTATCGCCTAGTGGCCGTGTGCATGACGCTCCACATGAACTTGAAATCGGATCCGCCAAAACTTGTTGGATCGCCTCCAAGTCCCCTTGATGTACTTCAGTAAATTTCCATAAGGTGTAAGCACTATCAAAAGAATCAAGCTTGTTAGACATAAATGAATCAAATGCATTTAATAAAAATTCTAACATAAGCTTGTTCATAATAAACATCTTTTTATCATGTTTGATCCACTTGGATTTCTCCAACATGGGCAAGCAAGATACAAATAAAGCTCAAAAATAGATTAGCACAATAAGCTAACTTGGATCTTTAACTCAAGGCGATTAGACCTTAAATCAAAGAGCACCAAGCTCTGATACCAATTGTTAGACCCTAGAGGGGGGGGGTGATTAGGGTCTTAAGCTAATCTAATCCCAATTAAAAGCTAATAAAAATTGTGTTGATCAATTTGATCTTACAAGAAGAAATATGATATAGATATGAACAATAAAGATGAATAAAAATATGCTAAGCAAAACACAAACACACGATATGTTTACGAGGTTCGGTCACCACGACCTACGTCCCCGCTCCTCACCTCGAGGAGATATCCACTATCACAATCCAGTTTGGAAGCCGGAACTTCTACACACTCGGTTTACAAGATCACCGAAAACTCTCACACTACACAAACACTATGCAATCACACTTTACACACTAAGTGTAGGAACCTAGCCCGTGTCCTCCTCCTCAAGTGCTCGATTACAACCTCTCCCTAGGTTCGTCAATCGACGCCACTCCTATTGGATTCGACCCCGTGTCTCGCCTCACACTTCTCTCGGTGTACAAGTGTATTACAAGTGATTTTCACAAATAAAAGTTAAATACAATGATTTGTTCTCAAATAACAAGTGAGAACTGAATGAAGCTCACACTCACTAAATCACACCCCACAACCCACTCTATATAGTATGAAAATATTAAGCTCAATAAGTATGTGTGATAACAGTGAATGAAACTCAATAGATATAGCTAAATGAAAAGAAAATGAAATAATAAGCTATATAAGAGTTTAGAAGACTTCTCAAACAAGAAGAACAGTAGAGATGATTCCAATAGGATTGAATGCCACTTCTTGTTGTAGAAAAACTTGTCTTGAAAAACTGATTGATGAAATCAACTATTAAACAGCTCTTAAACACAATTAATATTTTGTTAAACACCAAACTTGGATTTCTTAGTTGTAGAGAGGAAACACAGCAATGGGGTATTTATAGCACCCCAATACAACAGCAAAAACATAAGTAAAAGACCAAAAAACCAATTTGAAAACAACAACTCGGCGGTCGACCGGTCCGGTCGACCGCTAAGCTCAAAAGCTCAAAGAAAATCAATTTAAAGCAGGCGGTCGACTGATGGAATTTTCGGTCGACCAAAAAAGTCTCTGGAGGTCTCTCGATCGACCGGTGCGGTCGACCGCGAGCAGCTCAGGAAAATACAACTGTCGGTCGACCGCACCGGTCGACCGAAAACTGACATATAGCATATTGACAGGTTTTGGGGATGTTTTGAAAATTCATTAAAAATATCAAATCAAATCCAAAAATAGTGAAACTTTGGGGAAAGTTTCTAAATGATGAAATAAACATGTTTGAAAAGGAATTTTTAGAAAATTAATTTTCGTTTGTGAAAACTCCCTGTTTTTGAAAAGTGTTCAGAAAACCTGTTTTTCGTGAACATGAAAATTGACATAAAGCTTGTAAATATGTATATATATATTGAGCATGTATTATATATATATATATAATGAAGTATGAAAGAGCTGTAAACATGAGATAAAAGTTATTGTAACAACGTTTGATGAAAAATCATTTATATGATAGAAAACGTCAAAAATCGTGTTAAGTGTACATATATTGAGCTTAGATATAATCATACAATATATGTAAGTAAACTAAACATATACCTAGGTAAATCCACACATATGAACTTGAATCTTTAACGCTTGACTGAAGTGTGTTGAAATACCTGAAATGAGAAACATAAACACAAAACACTAGAGAACTTATTAGTAATAAATTGTTTGCCAAACCATCATCAAAACTATAGGGTCAACAATCATAACCCTTTTGACTGCTATCCAATAATCCATACCAGGGTTGCTTAAGTATCTGCCTAACATACC